ATATATATATATATATATATATATATGTATATATATATATATATATTATTGCTACTAACCGTGTTTCTGGATCTACTAACCGTATTACCAATTGTATTATTACGTCAATACATTTATTTGCTATATTTCATTCCTGCGTTTGTCATTGATTGGAGACCGAATTTCATCCCGGAATCCACAACAATTAGTGAGTTCGATCCTTACTGGGTGCTTCTCGCTTTGGGGCTTGTGCCACATCTAAGCTTCTGTTATAAAAGCCTCATATACCAGAGACATATATTCATAACTATTTAAATATCGATGATTTCAATGTCTAAGTGTGTATTCATTTACGTTAAGCACTAGTAACTTCAAGTGCAACTCTCGATCCATTGCTAAAGACTCTGGGTAAAATGGTCGGCACATTGACCCGCCCCAGAAAATACCTGACGCCATCTGCTAAGTTATATTTTTACAAGAGTCGGATAATACCAAAAATGGCTGGTATATCTCGGATTCCCAGTCTTGATAGTTAGAACTACCGTCTTGGTAGTGCTAACGGAAGAATTCGAGCATGTGTCTCGACCACAAAATTGGAGTTCTTGAATGATAACCATTCTGTGTGAGACTTCCTCCTTACAAATGGAATATGGAGGCGATTTGGGATTTCAAATCCGTGAACTTAGTCTGACGTTTCCTGACTGTAACTGTAGGCACCTCCACGAAATCGCGAAAAAATCACCATACCGTCATGGAAAAATGCTCCAAATGTAAGGAAAACTTATTTTTAAAGTCAGAATCTTTATTTTATTACTAAGAGGAAAGATCAAAGTGTTTTTGAATATTTAATTAAACTTTTTGATGTAATAGAATAACCTGTCACCCCCATGAGTGACTGCACTATAAATAGTAATTACCTATAAGTATAGGTAAATCAACGAACTACAGAGACTATCTGGGATCTGTTCCAGTTAAATAGTCGAACACTTTGCCTTCGGACAGAGAGGAACACGGACAAGGCTCCGCCGAAGGGCAGAGTCTCATTCGGGGAGGTGGACTGCCCCTGAACCCGTTTATGCGGGTTCAAAGGGAATATTTTTGGCCGAGCCTACGGGCTCGGAGAACCCACGTTAAACCGGCCTTGTGCCTCATGCAACCCTCGTTGGAGGGGTAGCTAAATATATTATATGGGATCTGTTCCAGCTATGCTGTCGAACTCTCTGCCTTCGGGCAGAGAGGAACCCAGACGAAGCTATGCTGAGGGACAGAGTTTCGTCTGGGGTTGTAGACCGACCCGACCCCGTTTTTTACGGGGTCTATAGAAAATTTTTGCCCGAGCCTACAGGCTCGGATACCCAACGTTTAATTCGGTCTTGTGCCCCATCCGACAGCGTGGGGCGGTTGGCAGATATACTAGCTGGGATCTGTTCCAGCTGTGCTTTCGAACTCTCTTTGCCGAAGAGCAGAGTCTCGTCCGGGAAGGTAGACAGACACGAACCCGTTTATGCGGTGTTACGGGGATTTTTTGGCCGAGCCTACGGGCTCGGATTGCCCCACATTAAATTCGGCCTTGTGCCTCATCCTACCTCGTGGGGAGGCTGGTAAATATTTCTAGCTGGGATCTGTTGAGTACGACTCAAACTTACGCGAGAACTACCGACTTTCCAATAGTAGCACTCACTACTGGATTGACTTGCGACGACCTTGTGCATAACTGTTACCTTTATTCTTATTGTACTGGTTTTGTACAATAAACCTTTACTTATTTTATCCACCGTGTTTTTCAAGTATATATTCCTATTAGCACGTAATATAACACTTTTTAAACGCTAAGTATGGCGTTTTCGTGGAGGCACCTATGTAAAGGTCTTATCATATGTAAATACAGAATGGAACTCATGTTAGCATTTCCGATTCAAATACTAGGAGGTTTGCAATGCTGTGTCTCTGGTAATTAAGCTGCAGATTGGAAAATAATTCACCCCGACCCCACAAAGATTTTGAACCTTATCAAACCTAGGAATCCCAGATATTCAAGCAGTACGCCATTTTTGGTTTGATCTGGCTCTCGTAAAGATGCAACATAGAAGGTATTAGGTACTTTCTGGGGTGGCACAATGCACCGACGATTCCCCCAGGGCTTTTAGCAATGGATCGAGTGTTGCACTTAAATTTTACAGTAAAAATGAAACCCAAAGATGCGATCAACGGATGGAGCTTCGTTGACAATGGCAACGTCCATTGTTACTGGAGAATATTCAGCATTTGATTGCTGATGGAACGACGCTTGGTTTTGGGATTTATCAAATATTACATGTCAGTTTTTTTTTCCATTGAGCGGTTAGAGATAAATGAAATGAGACATCAGTTGCAAGGCTCCAGTCAACTGGTTTTTTAAAAAATGCTTCCTGGAAATTCATACAATAATATACCCACCTATACATTGAACGCATCGATATATGTCTTTGAGATATGCCGTATTTTCCGGCTTGGAATGACGAAGGGTAGTAGTATTGATCCTAAGATTTACTTGACGTCCCCCCAATGACTCAGATTGTGTCGCAAGGTCATTTTTAACGTGGGGCCGCTGGTCCAAGCTGGTCTTAGCTGGTCATAGCTTGTCCAAGCTGGTCAGAGCCGGTCCAAGATAGTCATAGCTGTGATATTACCAGCTCAGGGACGGATCCCTACACCAGGTAAAGAGATTTACTTGACCCCACTGAGCCAGGTTGTGACACAAGGTCAGTTTTTAACGTGGGGGCCCAAGTGCTTTCACTCGCTTCGCAGGTCTAAGCTGGTCTTAGATGGTCATAGCTTGTCCAGGCTTGTCAGAGCGAGTCTAAGCTAGTCATAGCTTTGAAGTTGACATAGCTGGTCTTAGCTGGTCAGAGCCAGTCCAAGCTAGTCGTAGCCGTGATACCACCAGCACAGGGACAGAGCCCCGTGCCGAGTAAAGATATTTACTTGAGTCCCCCCCCACTGAGTCAGGTTGTGACACAAGGTCAGTTTTTAACGTGGGGGCCCGTTTATTTTCACTCGAGCCGCTGGTCTAATCTGGTCATAGCTTGTCCAAGCTTGTCAGAGCTGGTCTAAGCTAGTCATAGCTGGTCTTGGCTTGTCATAGCTGGTCCAAGCTTGTCAGAGCTGGTCTAAGCTAGTCATAGCTTGTCTTGGCTAGTCATAGCTTGTCGAAGCTTGTCAGAACTGATCTAAGCTAGTTATACCTGATCTGGACTTGTCATAGCTTTTCCAAGCTGGTCAGAGCTGGTCTAAGCTAGTCATAGCTGGTCTTGGCTTGTCATAGCTGGTCCAAGCTTGTCAGAGCTGGTATAAGCTAGTCATAGCTTGTCTTGGCTAGTCATAGCTTGTCGAAGCTTGTCAGAACTGGTCTAAGCTAGTTATACCTGATCTGGACTTGTCATAGCTTGTCCAAGCTGGTCAGAGCTGGTCTAAGCTAGTCATAGCTGGTCTTGGCTTGTCATAGCTGGCCCAAGCTTGTCAGAGCTGGTCTAAGCTAGTCATAGCTTGTCCAAGCTTGTCAGAGCTGGTCTAAGCTAGTCATACCTGATCTGGACTTGTCATAGCTTGTCCAAGCTTGTCAGAGCTGGTCTAAGCTAGTCATAGCTGGTCTCGGCTTGTCATAGCTGGTCCAAGCTGGTCAGAGCCGGTCTAAGCTAGCCGTAGACGTGATACTACCAGCACAGGGGAGGATCCCTGTGCCATGTAAGTATCCAAAGTTTTGATCCTAAGGTACTGTTGTCCAAATCTTTGTCGAAGCCATGTAAGTTCTCTCATACGGGTTAAAGTAAATGATTCCATGTTAAAGAAAGTCTTCTATTCCAAAGAAATGTTGGCCAAAAATATTTTTTTAAAATGTAAGCAATTTTAGGAAGAGAAGTAAGAAAAAAACCTCTACTAAGGATGAGGATGAATGAAGCAAGGAGAAAAAAAAGTAAAATCAGAAAAAGGCAAAAACCTAAGATGAAGAAAAATATTTAAAAGAGACTGAAATAGGAGGTTATTAAAATAGAGTAGAGAAGGAGGTGGGTGAAAAAATTGAGAAGGAAGAAAAGGGAAAGCAAAAATATTCGATGAACAAAGAAACAAACAAACAAAACGAAAAAAAGAACGCCTAGGATGAAAATAAATTAAACGAAGAATGAAAGAAATAATGAATGAAACAGTAAGGTAAGAAAGATAGAAAGAAAATAAGAATGAGGAAGAATAAACTGCGAAAAGAAAAATAAATAAGAAAGAAAGAAAGAAAGAAAGAAAAAAGAAAGAAAGAAAATAAGAGAGGAAGAAAATGGCAACAGTAAAATAAATAAATAAGAAAGAAAAGAGAAAGTAAGTAAAAGAAAGAAAGAAAGAAAGAAAGAAAGAAAGAAAGAAAGAAAGAAAGAAAGAATGAAAGTAAACAGAAAGAAAGAGAAAAGATAATGGGAAAAATGGGAACGTCGATAAAACTTTAAAAATAAATTAAAGAAAGAAAGAAACGAAAGGATATTAAAAGGGGATACAACAGAAAATGAAAAGAAGCTAGACAAAAAAATGAAAGAAAAATGTGACAGTAAAGAAAGAAATAAAGAAAGAAAGAAAGAAAGATGGCAAATGAAAAAGGGGAACACAGTAAGAAAGTAAAAAATTAAAATAGAGAAAGAAAAAAGGAAAATGAAAGAAAAATAACAAGAACAAAAAATAAAATAGAATAAAAAATAAAGAAAGAAAGAAAGAAAGAAGAAATGAGAAGAAGAAAAAGAAAATGTAACGAAATGAAAGAATATAAGTAAACAAAAGAAAGAAAGAAAGAAAGAAAGAAAGAAAAAAAAGAAAAGAAGAAAGATCGACTGACTGATTTTTTACGTCTTATCAACCATTTGTTGCTAATTTAATTCTGAAACATATTTCAAATTGTAGAATATCGTATGGTGTACGCGGTGTTCAGCAGCCCCCCATCTATGTACACAACGGTCTCGGCACTGGTGAAAGAAAAAAGGAAAATGAAAAAAAAATGGCTTCAGCTAAAAAATAAAATAGAATAAAAAATAAAGAAAGAAAGAAAGAAGCAGGAGAAAAAAGAATGCAATTAAATGACAGAATATAATAAAGAAAGAAAGAAAGAAAGAAAAAAAAAAAGAAAGAAAGAAAGAAAGAAAGAAAGAAAGAAAGAAGAAAACGGAAGAAGAAAAAACAATGTAACGAAATGACAGGAAATAAGTAAATAAAAGAAAGAAAGAAAGAAAGAGTAAATGAGAAGAAGAAAAAGAAAATGTAACGAAATGAAAGAATATAAGTAAACAAAAGGAAGGAAGGAAGGAAGGAAGAAGGAAGGAAAAAGAAAAAAAGAAGAAGAAATAAGATATAACGAAATGACAGCATATAAATAAACAAAAAAAAGAAAGAAAGAAAGAAAGAAATAAGAAGAACAAATGTAACGAAATGACAGAATATAAGTAAACAAAAGAAAGGAAGGAAGGAAAAAAGAAAGAAAGAAGATGAAGAAGAAAAAAGATGTAACGAAATGATAGAATATAAATAAACAAAAGAAAGAAAGAAAGAAAGAAAGGAAGGAAAGAAGGAAGGAAGGAAGGAAGGAAGGAAGGAAGAAAGAAATAAGAAATAAGAATAACAAATGTAACGAAATGACAGAATATAATAAACAAAAGGAACGAAGGAAGTAAGTAAGGAAGGAAGGAAAAAAGAAAGAAAGAAGAAGGAGAAATAAGATATAACGAAATGACAGAATATAAATAAACAAAAGAAAGAAAGAAAGAAAGTAAGTGTAAATGAGAAGAAGAAAAAAAATGTAACGAAATGTCAGAATATAAGTAAACAAAAAGAAAGGAAGGAGGAAGGAAGAAAGAAAGAAAGAAAGAAGAAAAAAACTGTAACGAAATGATAGAATATAAATAAACAAAAGAAAAAAAAGAAAGAAAGAAAGAGTAAATGAGAAGAAGAAGAACAAATGTAACGAAATGACAGAATATAATAAACAAAAGGAAGGAAGGAAGGAAGGAAGGAAGGAAGGAAGGAAGGAAAGAAGGAAGGAATAAAGAAGAAAAAAGATGTAACGAAATGACAGAATATAAGTAAACAAAATAAAGAAAGAAAGACGTAGAAAACGGAATGAAAGAAAAACAGAAAGGAAAAGTAGAATGCATATAAGAATGAATAGAAAAAAATTAGAAGAAAAAAAATGGAAATAACAAAGTCGAAATAAAAATGCGACAAACCGGAAAGAAAAAAAGGAAAAAAGAAAGAACGAAGATCACGGAAGAATAAAAAAAAGAAAGCAAAAAGAAAAAGAAAAAGAAAAGCAACCAGAAGCAACAGAAGAAAAAAAATTGAACGCAGCAGAAGAGAAAAAATTTAAAAAAAAGAAAAAAAGTGAGTAATGAAAATAAAAAGCGTTATGTTTAGATTAAAGAAAGACAACTGAAGAATATAATTTTAAAAGGGGAGAAAAAAATAAAACAAAAATAAAAAATGTTTATTTATTGTAAAAATACAATCAGAATCGCTATTTTTTTTTTTAACAATTCTGACTCGGCATTCGGTTATTTTGTATAGAAACAAAAAACTAAAATCTAAATGATTTTCCACCAAACTAACCTTTCTAAGAAAATACATTTTGGCCAGCAATGGCGTCCAAATGGTGGAAACAGAATTTATAAAAAGACTTTTCTCGCTTCCTTCACATTCAACTCTTTCTAAAGCTCTAAAGAAATTTGGACTGAAAGAGGAATGGCTTCCACTTAAAACACTAAGTACACCTACCATTCAGAATAAATGCATGCCTGTGTTTTTGTGCAAAAGAAACAAAGCCAACCATCACCTAACGAGTGGACAATGAAATACAAAATAGCTACTAAGAAAAGTACCAAGTCTTATTGGTGAAGCGCCTGGTGCATATTGTAAGGATGGCATTCATTAAAAGACATACTAATCACAGATTGACGTTCGGTGTAAGAGTTTGATTTTGGACTCACGTTGCAGGATCGCATCACCAACGTTGAAATATTGGGACATACGCTTTCTACCTACAGCGAATCAATTCTCTTCAAGTCACACCAAAACTTCCGCATTGATTTGACAATGCATTTTCAGCTGTACGGAGAGATGCTATGGAGCAGACGACAACCAGGCGGAAACGGGACAAAGACGAAATCGAAACTAAGCTATACTGCTACAAATTTAAACGCAAAAAAATTAGAGAGGTATGCTTCCGAGGGCTGCTTTGGCGTGCCATTGTCTCTGCAAGCTTGCATTATCAGGCGTCAAAAACCTCACCACTCAAAAATGTTCGATTTTGGACTCAGGTTGCAAGATCGCCAACGTTGAAATACTGGAACATGCGCTTTCTACTAGCATCGAATCAATTCTCCTCAAGGCAAAAGTCCGATGGCGTCGCCATGACATCCGCATGGGTTTACCAACGCATTCTCATCTGGCGGTTGTACGGAGATCTGCTATGGAGCAGACAACCAGGCCGAAACCGGACAAAGACGTAAACGAAACTAAGCTCTACTGTTACAAATGCCACCGCAAAAAAAAAAAAAAGAAAATTAAATAAATAAAAATAGAGAGTTATGCTTCCGACCGACTGTTTTGGCGTTCCATTGTCTCTGCTAGATTTGAATTATCAGGCGTCAAAAATCTCACAACTCAAAAGAGAACAATAGCACTCTTGAACTTTGGCATTTAATCACAGACAACGACTTCCAGTGTCGTCATTTCTCTAGATAAAGTATGTCTTCTGGAATTGGCTCGCAGAGAGCAATCTCTGTATTCACTGATGAACTGTAAAAAAAAAAAAAAAAAAAATGAAAGAAAAGACTTCTTCGGATCCGATTGACAACTACGATAAAACGTGACTCTTAATCATACGATAATCTTTAAAAATTAATTTCTTAGTCAAATATCTAAGGCTTACTTATTGGATTGGTGCATAATTATCAGACGTTTTTGTAGGCGAGTTATTTGTTAATAAAATTTCTGTTTTGTTTTTTCCTTTTTTTTAATAAAAATATAATTTCATTTTCAGTTTGTCGATAATCACACTCATTTAAAAATGTTATTGTTGAATTGTTATGTTTCTTGTTTCATAATAAATATTGTTTAAAAAAACGCCTGATGTACAAACCCAATACAATTAAGTGCTTCTATTTTATGGTAGACTAGATCCCGCCTTTTTTACATCCAGATATATGATTTATAGCGTAAGGGTAGGGAATCTCTGTACGCAACCTGTGTTTTGCTAAACGTTGTTTTGCCAGATACCTGAAAATAAATCCATTTTCTTTCCTCAGCTATGGATTAAAGAGTATGATTTTTTATCTGGAAAATACAGAGTGAGCCAAAAGAACGGGAACTTTTAACAATCCAATAAAACCAAGAGTGATGGAAGAATAATATTTTGTTCTTAGTAATTGAAACCTTAAAATATGCCATTTAAGAAACAATGATCAGGAGGGAGTCTGTACAAGTCGCTTGCGGGAACGTTTGAGACTGATAAGTCCAATGCGAGACAGGCATACTCGGTTGTACAATTGCGGCTGAAAGTTCGACCTGGGCTCGATGGCATAGCATTGCAGTACTTCCTACTCTGCCTCTTGTCCCCAAGAGGGGCAATGCAGGTATTTACAAAGGAAACAACATAGTAAGTGGTGAGACGCCATGTATCACAAACAGAACGATAGGACTTTAGGAATTAAATGATACATACACCCGGCAGTGAAAGGGTTATATTTAACTACCGACTGAGCAATCTCAAAGGGGAGCATTCAAGCATTCTTATTGCTTGCCCATCTTAAGGCTGTTGTGATCAGAGCTACTACCATGGTATAGCCGGAAAAAGTTATTCCTGTATGCTATCACGACTGAACAAGAAGGTAAGAACCAAGACGATTGTGGTTGACCTGGTATTTCCGAGATGGCACAAAAGTTTCAGTGGCGATTTTATCTAATAAAGAATCTCAGTGGCACAGTTTTAAAAGGAGTATTAAATAATATCGCCCTAATGACCGTCGCGTAGAAAATGGCAAAATTAATTACTATCGGTACACGTTGGTAGCAGAAAGAAATCTTGTGAATACAGGTTCAGTTATGTGCCATTCGTGATACACGCCCAGGCGATGTTGTATCTTTCGATACATGACAGACGAGGCAGATTTTTTCCTGCAGTAGGTTGCCATTTGTTTCTTTCATCCAAGGCTATTAAACTCAGTCAATAACTATCAATATGGGCAAATAGCAAAACAGACCCAGTCTGTCCTGCTATTTACCCATAGCGGGGGGGGGAGAAGAGGATTCATACCTTTCTCAAGAGTATTGGCACGTAAGTGAATGTAATAGATTCGATTGGAATTCGAACTCGGCTCTCCGATTCCTCAGTCTGAGCCGCTATCCATTACACCACTGTGCCCCGTCAGAGAATAGAGTTTGCATACCTAATAAAAGAAATATCAACAGACGCTACAGTGTGCTTCGGGAGCCAGGAGGGGCTGTAAGGCAGTGCTACTCAAATAGCAGTATGCATACCGGTGCCGGTACGTGAGAAAATCGTTTGCCGGTACGCGGAGAGTATCCAGGAAACAAAGAAACGGTAGTCACATTCCACGACACGGGAGACTGGCAGGATATCTGATTTTTTTAAACATTTTCATTTTAGTTTTATATTTATTATGGTTACATTTTTCAATTACTTATTTATATTAAAATTCATTGCTATACAGCCCACGAATGCGATATAATGAACGGCAAAACAGTGAAATAATATACGTATGTTAAAACCAACTTGATGACTGAGTGTGTGACTGTGTCGGAAACACACCTAGGAATAACAAATGGCAATTTTAATGGATATATATTTCTAATTTGGACTTTAAAAATTCGTCTGACTGTAAAAAAAAAGTAATAGCCACGTGAAATTTGTCCAACATTTTAAAAGTTATCATTTAATTCCATAGATTTGTAATCTATCCACTATAAATGAATAATGAAATGAATTTGAAAATAATATTTTCTCGTCATTATATAATTATATGGCATAAATGGGTGCGTGGCCGAGTAGTTAGAAGGTTTGCTTTCTGACCATGAGCCCCGGTTTCGAAACTCACCAGGGTTGATTCATGTTATCGTTCTGGAAAAGGATACAGCGGGTTGACCTAACCCTTGCTGTGCTAGCACGAAGTCACAAGTCATCGTAACCGAGGGTTTGAGTGTGCTGGCCTTATTCAAATTGTTGATCCCGCTAGATAACACTCTCCCTCACTGTAACTAAGGTCTCCTCAGCAGCATAGTTTTACAGGTTGGCTTTGTGGGTATTGAAAAAACACAATGTGCCTGAGCGAGCGTCTACAATAGGGATTGACTAACCGCCCTAATAGACGAGTATCCTTGAATACGAGTGACTAACTTATAGGGCACAAATATGGTAACAACCTCCTGCACACGAGGAAGTCTTGTTACGTCAATGATCACTGGCCTTAGAATAAATAAGACATCATATCCTGTTTATTACAGTCTACAAAATAATCTTAAAATAGGATATATCTAACAAGACAAAAATGGTGTGGGCAGAGCCTTCCCGAACCCCTAAGCTCGATTAGAAAACATCATTCGCCGCTCCCTCGCACAAAAATTGATATAATGGAATATGCATACACCTGAGTTCCCCCTCACTGAAATATGATTGGCTGGTGTCCGTCATAAATACAGACGGACGTGAAGGTACGACAGAGTTTAAGTCTATGATGACGCCCATTGGATTAGGCCATTGGCTATCCTATTGGTCTACACCTATTACCTGCAACTATGACGAGTACCAGTCGATTACTGCTACCGTGTACTACTTGGTTACAGTAGGCAAAACCACTTAGCTACTTCGATCAAATATATCCCTTTCCGGGACATATAAAAAATAAACTGCCGGAACGCAACATCAGATAGTTTGAGAAGCACTGCTGTAAGGAATAAACCGCGTAAAGAATCGTACTCATCTGAATTATTAAAGTAACGAGGAATGAAATGTACGATTCGACGGAGAGTTTTGAGCAAGGGAAAAAAATGAAATTCTGAAGACCAGAGAATTTAATAGCATTATAAGCATCACTTGACATGATGATAATTGATATCGCCAAATAAAGGTGAGGAATTTAGA